ATTGATTGTGATGAATGGTTACACAGCTCTGTGAATACACTAAAAACTATTGAATTGTATACTTTAAAAGGGTGAATTGTATGGTATGTTGATATGTCAATAAAGCTGTTAAAAAAAAATCTTGTTTGCTTTTGCTGCAGAGTTTAAAGGGGCTCAGAGAGAGCAAGCACAGGAATAGGATGGAGATGGCAGACAAGCTTGTTTAGCAGACACTCCTCCCTACGGAAGGTCCCTCCTGTTGGGTGAGTGAGTCTTTGACCACTAGCCCAGGCTAAATAGCCAGTCTGTACAAGGGAGGAATGTAGAAGAGGAAGCAGTTCATTGAACTGATTTGTGATATGAAGCAAAGAAATTTAAAGCATTAAGATTCATCAGATTCTAAGGACCAAGAAAGTTAAGTGTTTTACACACAACAGAGCCCCCTCCACTAAGAAGACTGGTCTCCTTTGCTCTACAACTAGCTATGGTGATTGGCTGAGAGTATCTCCTACTTAGCTATAACCTGTCCCTACTCCAAGTGAGATTGTTGAATTGGTGCCCACCATCATCTCTTTGATCTGAATTCTCTAAAAAATACTCATAAATTAACAATGCTCTATTCTGTTGACTGTTGAGTCATTTTTCAACTCTCTCAGCCAACTTCTGAGGTTACTTGCTGTGGTATGTGAAATAATGGACCTCTAAAAGATGTCCATGTTCTAATCCCCAGAACTGTGAATACATTGCCTCACATGGCAAAAAAGTCTTTGTAGATGTGATTAAGGTACGGACTTTGAGATGAGGAGATTATCCTGGATTATCCAGGTGGGCCCCATGTAATCAATCACAGGGTTCTTACAAGTGAAAGAGGGAGGCAAGGGAGTTAGAGTCAGAGATGACGCTGTGATACAGAAGTAAAGGTCAGAGTGATGCAATTGTTGGCTGGAGGCCACCAGACAAGAAATATGGGTAGTTTACAGAAGCTGGAAAAGGCAAGAAAACGGATTCTCCCCTAGAGCCTTCAGAAGGAATACAGCCCTGCTGACACCTTGATCTTAGCCCTCTGACACCCGTTTTGGGCCTCGGACCTCCATAACGGGAAGACAATAAATTTGTGTTGTGTCAAGCCACTAAATTTGTGGTAATTTGTTAACAGCAGCAATAGAAAACTAATACAATTGCCCTCACCAATATCAGGCCTGGAGGCATATGCCGCCTATTTGTGGAGTCCAGTTGCTTTTATTGCTTAAGATAGCATATTGGTTTGGAACAACTATTAATTATCTCAGAGCAAAAATGTTTTCCTCTTTGGGCTAGAAACCTCCAGAACTAAAAAAAAAAAAAAACCCAAACCAAACCCGTTGCTGTCGAGTTGATTCTAACTCACAGCAACCCTAAAGAACAGTGGAGAACTGCCCAATAGGGTTTCCAAGGAGTGGCTGGTGGATTCAAACTGCTGACCTTTCAGTTAGCAGCCATAGCTCACTGTAGCTCTTAACCACTGTGCCTTCAGAATTAGCCCAGTGGAAATTGCAGTTTGATCAATGGCTAAGGGATATAAGACTTAAACATTTGGACTTACCAAAAGATACAGAAACAGCAGTAATAAATACATTAATTGAAAGGAGGTTGGTGAATGAAAGATAAATTGGCACAAAACAGCAGTATCAATTACATGCCACATTTACAAAGTGTAGTTGACAGTGATAAGCCCTAAGAAGAATAAGAGGAAAGAGAAATGGGATCCAAAGTTGATGATTCCTAACTGGTCTCTCCAGAACTATTTAAGAGCAACTAATGGATACAATGAACCCTGGTGGCATAGTGGTTAAGAGCTTGGCTGCTAACCAAAAGTCGGCAGTTCAAATCCCCCAGCCGCTCCTTGGAAACCCTATGGGGCAGTTCTACTCTGTCCTATAGGGTTGCTATGAGTCAGAATCTACTCAGTGGCAACGGGAATGGATACAACGATGAGCTCAAGCACAGCAATGATTGTGAGGACGGTGCAGGACCAGGCAGGGTTTCGTTCTGTTGTACACAGGGTCACTATGAGTTGGAACCAACTTGATGGCACCTAACAATAACAATGGATACAACACAAAAATCTGGTCATTCCACTGGGGGGAGAAAGATGATAAAAGAAGGAGAAAACAGGGAGGCTTTTACTTAAAACAGTGATTATAAAGAAACCAGTTGACAATAATATTCATTTTAATTAGCCTTTAAAATGGTTATTTTTATAGTCTTATCAAAATCCTAAGACAAAAAGACTAATAATAGTGGGGCTTGTAAACAACATTTTTGTACTTATTTTCAAGATGGCTTTATCTTAGTAAGCTATATATTTTTATAGACATAGGTAGAAAACATTAAACACAAATAGAGATGCACTTTTGGTGTGGATTTTTGTTTGTTTTGGGTGGTATTATGGATTGAATTGTGTCTCTCAAAACTGTGTGTTGAAATCCAAACTTGTAAATATGACCCTGTTTGGAAGTAGGGGTTTTCTTTTATGTTAATGAGGTCATACCAGAGTAGGGTAGGTCCTTAACCTAATACACATCTGAGTTATAAAAAGAGCAGAACGGACACAGAGACACACACAGGGGGAAGATATATGCCAAGTAACACCAAGGAAAAGTCAAGGGGTGCCGAGGAAGGCCAAGGAATGATGAGGAACTCTTGGGGCTACCAACAAGGAAGGACTCTACCCTAGAGTCGATGCTTTGATTTGGATTTCTAGCCTCTGAAACTGTGAGAAAATAAATTCCTGTTCTTCAAAGCTATTCACTTGTGGTATATTTTGTTACACAGCATTAGGTAACTAAGATAGGTGACTTTTTGTTTGTTTTGGTGTTGCTAAACGATAGAACTCCATGAATGTCTTTCTTCAGCAAAATAACTTCACTGGCATTTACAAGGCCATAATGGCTATACCAGCCCTTCGTTTAATACCTTTGGATATTTAAATTTTTCTATTCTCTAAATTTCCGTGACCTGTATCTTTACTCTCAACACTGCAGCAAATTTGAAATGCTAAGAAATAATACAAGAGAGTCTGATATAATTTGAAACTGCTATTTTCACCAACAAATATCTATTTTACTCTCTTCAGCCTCGGAACCTTGCTGAGACCTCCCTAGGAGTTGTCCCTAACTCTATTTTGAAAAACAATGATTACATTAATTTATGATTCATTTATTATATTCTATGCCGTTTTTATTCTAGAAAGTCATGGAACTTGCTCTCTGGATAGTTTTCAACAATTACTGCCCTAAGTCAGAAAAGAAGGAAACAGAACAGAACAAGTTAACCAACGGAGTGGCTGTCAGAAACAGGTATAAAGAATAGGAAGACCAAATAAAAATGCAGGCAGAATGTAGCCAGTCTCTAAAGGAAATTATAACTTTCTAGGGTGGCAATGACAGATGCTGGGGCAATTCTCCGTAAGCAGTTTTATGGTGGCCACTACTTACTCCTAGATCTAACTACTTACCTCTCTCTCTTTCACAATGGTAAAGCAGTTGTATTGTTTTTGTTTTTTTTAAATATATTTTTATTTTTGAATAATTTTAGATTTACAGAAAAGTTTCCAAGATAGTAAGAGTTCCCCTATCCCCTCCACTCAGCATCCCCTAATGTTAACCACTTGCATAATAATGGCACATTTGTCAAAACTAAGAAAATAATGTCGCTATTGCTATTAACTAAACTCCAGACTCTACTTAGATTTTATTGGTGTCTTAGTCTGCTTGTGCTGCTGTAATACAAGTACCACAAGGGGGTGGTTTTAAAGAACAGAAATTTATTTTCTCACAGTTCTGGAGTTTAAAAGTCCAAACCAGGGTCTCGGCTGTGTGATTCTTGGTTGGTAGCCCTTGGTGTTTCTTGGTTCCTTGGTGATCCTCACATGGCGTCTGTCTTCCCCAGTACGTGTCTGCATCTATGCTGCTCTTCACATAACTCAGAAGTGATTAGGTTTAGAATTTAGTCCTCATGTCTCCTAGTTTTCTCCAACCTGTGATAGCTTCTTAGTTTTTCTTTGTTTTTCATGATCTTTATAGTTTTCAGAAGTACCGGTCAGGTATTTTTAGAATGTCCCTTGATTTGGGCTGGTCTGATGTTTTCTCATAATTAGAATGAGGCTGTATTTTTTTTTTTTTTTTAATTTTAGCCATTATCAATAACACACGGCATAAAATAGTATCCTTAAAACAGATTTATTTTTGCAGTGAGTCATTAGATAAAAACTCTGTGAGGAATAAAACACAGCTGACATTTAAAATATCTATAAATTATTTATGGAAAAAGATCAAAACAGGAGACAGTCTGGCAGAATCTCACTAATGGTTAATATAAAGAAAAAACAGAGACAAACAATTCTGTTACTGGGATTCTGAAAGATGGATTTCATAATAATATTGCGTATCCATGATAACTTCAATTGTGTATAAGAGTTCTTTGACATGTTTTTAGGAGAAACTTTGAAAGGGTACCAAGCTGAGACAGTCTGGAATAGAATCTTTCATCTAAGGCTTGGCAGCATTAGGAAGTACAAAGATGATGTCCTAGCGATAAAGGAGCATAAGGTTGGCAGTAACGGAAAAAGGTACTCACCTAAGATATACCCAGCAAGAGAGTGAAGGAAAGATGGGGAAAAAGGACAGTAAGACATGGAAAACTAAACAACACGGGATGATACCAAAATTTTAGATGACTTCCCGGAGCCCCAATTTCTCTATTTCATTAGTTTGAATTTGATCTCTAGACTAATACACATACAACCTCCAAATTTTCCTAACATTCTTTTTCCAACTCAGTGTAAAGCTCCTGCAACTTAGCTGTGAGTCACAACCTGCTAAGAAAGCCCAAGATTTCCAACAACTGTGACGATACATTTACAATCCATTCTTTCCATTATTTAAGAAGACTTGTAACACTGATATCATCAATGCTGTATCAGTTTCTACCCTCTTCCCGCCAAGTTAAGTGTCCAACAAAGAAATCTCTTCTTTACTTACAAATGCACGGCGTGCCACTTTTGAAGGAAATCCGTCTTCCTCTGTTGCCCCATTGGGGCCGGTTGCCTCTTTCCTTCTTTTCCTTGCATTGACTTTGGCTGAACTCTGGGCATCCATCTTCTTTCAACTGATCACAGAAAGAAAGTGAAAAAAAAAGTTCTTTCTCACTGGGGTGGAAGAAAGTTGTCACCAGTATTTCAGAGATGTTAACACTCATACTCTCAGCAAAAGACCAACTCCACAGTACACCATTCATCAAGATGAGCAAACTGCATCTGGCAAAAACACAGGCTCTAGCAGAAGCTTCACAAAACACAGGCTCTAGCAGAAACACTGAAATGCCTCTCTGTGGAACAACAGCCACAATTAATCACCTGACCTCGGAAATTATTCCCCTGGACAATCCAGCCTGTATACTAACTACTAATTTCATATCCTAACTGCATGTTAAACACTGGAATGACCTGGCTGAGAAATTAAGTTATACAGACTACCACTGTCCCTATACATAATCTGTGGGAAACCTGGAGGTATGACAGGTACAAGGAAACGTAAAGGATATGACTGTGGTATGGAGGGAGAAAGAGGACCTTTTTAAAAGCACTGGTAAACACAATTTACCCTTAGACATTCTACCCTATCATTTTTATAAAATTTATTTTTTTGTGGTTGTTGTTGAAAATATACACAGCAAAACATACACCAATTCAACAATTTCTACGTGTACAATTCAATGACATTCATTATATTCAAGTTGTGCAACCATTCTCACCCTCCTTTTCCAAACTGTTCCTGCCTCATTAACATAAACTCACTGCTCCTAAGCTTCCTATCTAACCTTTCAAGTTGCTATTGTCAAATTGACCCCATATAGACAGTTCTTTAAAACAGCACAACACTCAAGGCAGACATTCTTTACTAATTAAGCTAAACTACTGTTTGGTTTAAAGAACACTTCAGGGGTATTTTTGGTTTAAGGTTTAAAGATTATCTCAGGGCAATATCGGGGGTTCATCCAGCCTCAATGGCTCCAGAAAGAGAATTTGAAATTCTGTTCTGCATTTTCACCCTTTCGATCAAAGATTCTTCTATAGAATCTTTGATCAAAATATTTAGTAGTTCTACCCTATTAATTTTTAAGGACAGAAAATCTGTCATGCTCACAGTAAGTAATGCTCAGAAGAACCTTAAATAAGTTTGCAATACTATGTGTTGCAAATAATCCCTCAAATTTAGAAACTGGTGATTTAAGAAAGTACATGCATGCTCTGTGATTTGTGGAGCACACAAAATAAAAATCTATTTTCACATATGGAATAATTAGTTATAGAAAGATTATTTCAGACTGAGAAAAAAATAGCTCACCCTGAGAAGAAATCAAATATTCATTAACTAGTCAATGTCTATAATCTTAATCAATGTATCTTTCCCTTGTTTCTCTCTATTCCATCTCTTATTTGTTACTTCATTCCTTTAATACAAAAGAAATGCAATATATGGTCCCTGCATCCCCAATTCAATTTTCCTTGTGGCCTTCTCACTTTCTTCTCACCTTCTTCTGGGTACTTCAATCACTGGCTCGCTCTACTCCTTCATGGCCTCTAAATTACTCCCTATGACTTACTCTATCCTCATTCCTTCCAATCCTGGGTATTCTCTAATCTACCATCACCAAAGTACTCATCCTAACAACCACACTGGGCTGGTCACTATAAAGATGGACCAATAGCAAATACCTCAAATACCTACAGCACATTACTGAGGTAGCCAAGCATGGGGAAAGCACATACTTTAAGGAGGTACCAAAGTACAGCTTCAAGTAATGAGGCAAAAAGTGACTGGCTTTAAAACATTTGTTGCCAAGAAATTCGCCAGGAGCACAACTGCAGAAAATGAATTCAGATTCAAGTTCAATATTAAACATCTTCTATTAATTCATTTAGTATTTACTATATCTGTCAAGTACCAAGTATTAGCTAAATGCTTTCAAAAAAGTTCTCTTTCTCATTATTAAAAAATGTGCCCTTGGTATCCTCCTCTGTAAAATGAAAAGACCAAATTTAGTTCTCTTTTTCCCCACCAGCATCAAAATCACAACAGATCTAAATGCCTTTGTTTCCACTTACTGATCAATTTACATCGATTCCCCAGAATAGGGTTAAGTAAGAAGAACATTACAAGTAAAGGTGGAACAAACCTCCATGCCAACACCAAGTGCACAAAGTGGTACTGCAAACAGTGACAGCATTTTGATAAGGCTACAGTCACTAACAAAAGATCAGACTTCCAACAACATGAAGAATGTAATCAATGTTACTGAATTACACATGTAGAAATTGTTGAATGGGTGTATGTTTGGCTGTGTATATTTTCACCAATAATAATAATAATAAAGCAATTAGGTGAAATAAAGTGACAATGGAATTGAAGGAGAAAAAAAAAGATCAGACTTTAAATGTGCTCAATATCACACTGACCTTTTCAGGTAGGAGAGACATACACATACACACTGTAACAGAGCAGTATTTGAAAATGAAGGTGCTGTATCTCAATTCCTAAATTATGCAAGGTAAAAATACTTTTGGCAAAAAAAAAAAAAAAAAAAGGCTACTCCATAAAGGTGGTGATGCTTCTTCTAACCTAATCTCATGCTAATAAGAAAAACCAAACCCATTGCCATCGAGTCGATTCCGACTCACAGGGACCCTAGAGTACAGAGTAGAACTGCCCATAGCGTTTCCAAGGAGCGGCTGGTGGATTCGAACTGTCGACCTTTTGGTTAGCAGCCGTAGCACTTAACCACTACGCCACCAGGGTCTCCTCTCATGCTAATAGCTATCTTAAAATTGGAATCCTGTGCAGCATCCTTAAAAGTTACACAGCCCGAACCAATTTTTTTTTTAATGTAGAATAATGTCAATCACTTTGTATTTAAACTCAATAATACTTAATGAACATCTACTACATACAAACACCATGTTACACCATACTTTTGGTTTCATTAGTTTGAATGACTGTCTATATACCTTTACTGTAATAGAAATTAATTTAGAATTTCATATTGGGCAAGGCTCTTTAAAGACTTAGACTGAAAACCCCTAAATGGCAGGGATCTCGCTGTAATTTTCTTTCTACAGTTCCTGGTATAGTGCCACATACAATCAGGTAAATTTTTCTTCCTCCATCTTTATAAATATTCATTTTTTCTTGAGAAATATTAAATTACAATTTTGCACAGTACCATATGCTGAGGGTGAGACACAAGATAATTTGAGCGGCAAGTTACCCCCAATAAAATTAAAGGCAGGCCTGGTTTGTCTGTTAACAACCCCTACACTGTCCCTTAACAGCATCTCTCTTGCTTAATGTTTTCCAGTCCTTCTACCTGCAGGCCGCGTCGCATTCTTCTCAGTTAAGTAATGCTCCTTAAGGGATAAATAATGAAGCTCTTAGTCAATTAGGTCTAAGATGCTGTTTATCCAAGGTAGTTACATTTTAAAAGGGAACTTTCTGCTACCTATCCAGAAAGGAACTGGCATAAGGAGTCAGATGCTGTTAAATTCTGTGATCACGCCACAAAATGTGTCTCTGTAAAACGCATTATGATACACAACAGCAGCTTCCAGGAGTTGATAACCTTTGTTGGTCACCAATTCCTGGTTTTCCAAAGCACGGCTATCATAACTCTAAATGCTCTGTAGAATTCAGAGACCACTCCACTGGGGTCAGCCCCATGAAAATTGTGGAGTAGGTATAGCATATTTTGAAAACATCCTTCTGCTTCCTTTTTCAGTACTCATTTCGTCCTTCCCTTTTTAGTCTTAGCTCCTTAGGCTTGTTCAGAGTACCCAACTAGTCCAAAAAAAATGTATTTATTACTGTCTCATTTAGCAGAGAGCTTCTAGCAACTAGCTATCACAGAAAAGTCCTGAATATTCACTCTTTCATGCTTAGATGTTGGTTTGTATTACCCCTCCAACTTCCTGCAGGAATATTTGCTTTTTTTCTTGAGGAACATTATTTGCACAAATAAATTAATTTCTTGATAATGATGAGATGATAGGCTTTAGCAAGAAATTGGGGCACAGGGGAATCTTCATGACTAACTGCCATCTCTGCCCAAAACATGATACCCATTACCATCAAGTTGATTCCGATTCATAGCGACCCTACAGGGCACAGTAGGACTGCGTCATAGGGTTTGCAAGGCTGTAATCTTTACAGAAGCAGACTGTCACATCTTTTCCCACGGAGAGGCTGGTAGTTTTGAATCACCGACCTTTGGGTTAGCAGCCGCGTGCTTAACCACTGCACCACCAGTGATCCTTCTTTCAAAATATGATAGGTATAGGGAAAGGTGGAAGAAAAACCCTAGGAACAGGGTGAAAAACAAATGCCAGACAGAATGAGGCCATTCTTGTCTGCCTCACTGCCTCTCATACACATAAACGAGATGTTCATCTACACAACTGCAGCTGTGCCTTGCTTTCTTTCGTCTAGCTAAATTCCAAGTGGCAATGTGACAAGATCTATAAGAAACCTGGCTTAATTCTTTGAGACTGAAGGTGACACCCTAAGAGTCATGGCTAAGTGTTTATTAAACTGATTGACAAGAAAAAAATGTCAGAGTCTACAGTGAAAGATGGACACCATCCAGAAACTTCCTTTCATCACAAACGCAACTTAAAATGGAAGACAGGTACTATACCTTTTATACTTAGTTTTTCCAGTAATGATCAGTAGCTATTCTCCACTGCTGTTACTAATTATTCTTTCAAAATATGCAGGGGTCAGTACCACTACTCCCATCTCACTGGTCTGAGAGGCTGCTAAGAATGCCTAACCACTCCCATTAGTGAGCCTCTAATTCACGGACCTTAGGACTCTGCCATCAGTATCTGTAAAAGTCTCAGGACAGGGAAACAAAACTCACTATGAGACACAAAATCAGCAATTTGGGGTCAAGCAGATCAAGATCAAATAGTCAATAGTATTTAGTACTTACTGTGTACAGGTACTAGAGCATAATTTTTAAAGTAATAACTATTTTCTCAAGAAGCCTTTCATCAAGGAGAGGAAATCACATGCAGAGTCTCGGCTTCAAAATTGTCTATGACTTAAAAATGGTCTTTAGGATCCTAAAAGCACTGGATGAAAGCTTATTAAGTAGCAAGATATTTATACAGTTTTAAAGTACCCCCCCCCCATAGATTACTTATTAATTACAAAGGGAAAAGAGGTATCTTTACAGTGAAAAAATCTCTTGGCTAAGTGATCGAAGTTAATTAACATCATCAATAGCGCCTTCTGAAGTGATACACTGAGAAGGACGCACATTACCTGACAAAAATGTATAACCCATGTCTATTTATGAGGAAACAAGCAGACAAACCCAACTAAGGATTATTCTACAAAACAATGCTGTATTCTTCAAAAAATGACAACCATGAAAGACTGAAGGATTGTTTCAGGTTAAAAGAGACTAAAAAGACATGACAACTAAATGCAATGCATTTATAAATTGTTATAAAGGACAGTTATTAGGACCATCTGCAAAATTTGAAATACGTACTGTAGATTGGATAATAATATACATCAATGTTAAATTTCCTGAATTTAATAATTACACTGTGTTATGTAAAAGACTAAGTACATGCTGAAGTA